ACAGGAACCGTTGTTTCAACGCGATGCGGTCGTAAGCCTCGAGGTAGACGAATGAGGTGTGAACATAAGTGTAGGCAGGTAATGAGGACATGAAGGATAGTTAAATGACTAGATTTGCAAAGATTAAGATTGCAGATCTTGAGAAACACACCCAGGCCTGAGTCAATTTCACAAAGTAGTGATTCTTGGAATGTAGCTTTCGAAGTGGAACATCTTTTTTTACAAAAGGAAAATGTGGGAAATGAAGGTGATTCAATCCTGTGGACTTAGCAAGGTGTGTCTTTGTTGTAAAGGTCTGAACTGGTGACATTAAAGAATGGAGATCGTCTGAACTTGGAAGAAGGAACATTTTCCTGTTATTTTTTTTTCTTTGTAATAAAGAAGAATAAATATTTACAATAAATCTTGCCATTTTAAACGTCATGCAAGAAAGCCTTATATATATATATATATATATATATATATATATATATATAGAGAGAGAGAGAGAGAGAGAGAGAGAGAGATAACTAGACTCGTTTCGAAAAACCCTCGAATTTTTGATTTGCTAATCAAATCAATCTCGAGGGAAAAAAGGTTTTAAAAAAAAGAAAGAGCTACAAACATGAACTTCTGCCAACAAAAAAAAATCGCACAGATGCAAGTCTGAAGCCCAAAGAAAAAAAAACCCGATACGAGTAACAACTAACTAACAAAAGAGCTCAATACAACCGTAGAGCAGACCTAGATACACCTAGTGAGCCAGACAAACCTACCTAGGTTTGTCTGGCTCACTAGGTGTATATATATATATATATATATATATTACAAGTGGTTTATACTGCAATTATGCTGTACAATTATGCTGTATCTGAGAAAAATCGTGTTATCTATCGTGATCAACGGTTACAGCTATCGACAGCCCCCAACGGTTCCGTCTATCCGATTTCATTCACAAGGCTTGGGTCAACCCGTGGTATGGTTTTCAGGCACTTTCAAAGGTGCCGTACGCTCCATTTCGATAACATCAGGAAGTCTCCTTCCTGACAAATCGACCATGGTGAGATTCGAACCCGGGTCTCGTGGTCAGAATGCGGATGTTCTAACCACTCATATTACACACATATATATATATATATATATATATATATATATATATATATATATATATATATATATATATATATATATATATATATATATATATATATATATATATATATATATATATATATATATATATATATATATATATATATATATATATATATATATATATATAAAAGGGCGATATAGCGAAAAAATCAATAAATTTTAAAAAAATCAATAATCGATAAAGCCGATCAAAAATCGATAAATTCAACTATTTATAAATATATATATATATATATATAAGAGCGAATTATAATGTACTAGCGATGATACCCGGCTCTGCGTGGACTCTTTTCTTTGTGCAACTGCACGACGCTGTCGTTACTTTGTGTATGTGAATCTACCGTAAAATGGTTTTAGATAAATTGTCCTAATTAAAACTTTTCGAAATTTTTAATAAGTTTTGTAGCTGTTTATTTCATATACAGCATGTCATAATATTTATTTACAATTTATAATATTTTTTTAGACGCTTTTAGACAGCAACACCCTTCTTACGAATGAAATGCCAGGGGAAATAGGTGTTATTCAACCTTATGGTCGTAGCAAGGCGAGTATTTGCTGTAAAGTTGTGGCACTAAACAATGGATCTCGTCTGCTGAAAGATTGAACGTGTTTTTTCAATCCATAAGACTCGCCACGAATTTCAAGTAATGGCGTCGCTTTGTCAGTGTTATCAAGACAAAGCTGATTTTCTCAAAAGATCATTTCTAACGAAAGTAGGTTAAAACATTTTAAGATGCTTTAGCGAAAAACGTCATCCTGGTTGTGTAATTATGGCGAGTAAAGAACTCAAGGCATGAATGTTTTATAATTAACTTTATATTTTGTACACTCCAATATTCTGTCACATAATCTCAGCAAGTCTATACTATGTTTAGTATCTAATTCTCTTTCTGGCTATTCTGCGAGATCTACCAAATTCTATTCCTTCCCGTTTTAAGAGATCTACCAAATTCTATTCCTTCCCGTTTTAAGAGATCTACCAAATTTTATTCCTTCCCGTTTTAAGAGATCTACCAAATTCTGTTCTTTCCCGTTTTAAGAGATCTACCAAATACTGTTCCTTCCTGTTTTAAGAGATCTACCAAATTCTATTCCTTCCCGTTTTAAGAGATCTACCAAATTCTGTTCCTTCCCGTTTTAAGAAATCGACCAAATTTTATTCCTTCCCGTCTTAAGAGATCTACCAAATACTGTTCCTTCCCGTTTTAAGAGATCTACCAAATTCTGTTCTTTCCCGTTTTAAGAGATCTACCAAATTCTGTTCCTTCCCGTTTTAAGAGATCTACCAAATTCTATTCCTTCCCGTTTTAAGAGATCTACCAAATTTTATTCCTTCCCGTTTTAAGAGATCTACCAAATTCTGTTCTTTCCCGTTTTAAGAGATCTACCAAATACTGTTCCTTCCTGTTTTAAGAGATCTACCAAATTCTATTCCTTCCCGTTTTAAGAGATCTACCAAATCCTGTTCTTTCCCGTTTTAAGAGATCTACCAAATACTGTTACTTCACGTTTTAAGAGATCTACCAAATTCTATTCCTTCTCGTTTTAAGAGATCTACCAAATTTTATTCCTTCCCGTTTTAAGAGATCTACCAAATTATGTTCTTTCCCGTTTTAAGAGATCTACCAAATTCTATTCCTTCCCGTTTTAAGAGATCTACCAAATTATGTTCTTTCCCGTTTTAAGAGATCTACCAAATTCTGTTCTTTCCCGTTTTAAGAGATCTACCAAATACTGTTCCTTCCTGTTTTAAGAGATCTACCAAATTATGTTCTTTCCCGTTTTAAGAGATCTACCAAATTCTATTCCTTCCCGTTTTAAGAGATCTACCAAATTTTATTCCTTCCCGTTTTAAGAGATCTACCAAATTCTGTTCTTTCCCGTTTTAAGAGATCTACCAAATACTGTTCCTTCCTGTTTTAAGAGATCTACCAAATTCTATTCCTTCCCGTTTTAAGAGATCTACCAAATCCTGTTCTTTCCCGTTTTAAGAGATCTACCAAATACTGTTACTTCACGTTTTAAGAGATCTACCAAATTCTATTCCTTCTCGTTTTAAGAGATCTACCAAATTTTATTCCTTCCCGTTTTAAGAGATCTACCAAATTATGTTCTTTCCCGTTTTAAGAGATCTACCAAATTCTATTCCTTCCCGTTTTAAGAGATCTACCAAATTCTATTCCTTCCTGTTTTAAGAGATCTACCAAATTCTGTTCTTTCCCGTTTTAAGAGATCTACCAAATACTGTTCCTTCCTGTTTTAAGAGATCTACCAAATTCTATTCCTTCCGTTTTAAGAGATCTACCAAATTCTATTCCTTCCCGTTTTAAGAGATCTACCAAATCCTGTTCTTTCCCGTTTTAAGAGATCTACCATATACTGTTCCTTCCCGTTTTAAGAGATCTACCAAATTCTATTCCTTCCCGTTTTAAGAGATCTACCAAATCCTGTTCTTTCCCGTTTTAAGAGATCTACCATATACTGTTCCTTCCCGTTTTAAGAGATCTACCAAATTCTATTCCTTCCCGTTTTAAGAGATCTACCAAATACTATTCCTTCCCGTTTTAAGAGATCTACCAAATTCTGTTCCTTCCCGTTTTAAGAAATCGACCAAATTTTATTCCTTCCCGTCTTAAGAGATCTACCAAATACTGTTCCTTCCCGTTTTAAGAGATCTACCAAATTCTGTTCTTTCCCGTTTTAAGAGATCTACCAAATTCTGTTCCTTCCCGTTTTACCAAAATCTGTTTTTTGAAAATTCTGTTTTTTGAAAGCTACCAAAATCTGTTGCCGTTTTACGAGATCTGCCAAAATCTGTTTCTAGCTATTCTGCGAGATCTGCCAATTTTTTTTCGTTGCCGTTTTACGAGATCTACCAAAATCTGTCTGACAGATATGACTCTGAAATCGATTCTGTGTTTTATTCAATCAAAATTATCTTATGAGTAAGTTGTCTAGTCTTCGTCGTTTTTTTGTTTATTGGGGTTTTTTTTGGCGGGGGGTTCGCCAAATTCAGAACTGATATAAGCTATTTCCCGCCATTTATTATAATTGTCGTATGAGTGCAGACCTTCCAGTGCACTCACTTGGTCGTATTTCGATGGTGCAGATGTTGTCCCATCAGATTTGCAGTCACATCGAGAACTTTCATCACGCTAATATTTCTTAGGCTTACCTCAATCTACCGAAGGATGTTTTTCTTTTTCTCTGTAGATTGCTAAAGAGCTAGTGTTCTACATATGAATGAGACATTAATTTAATACCTACACCCGTGAAGTGGGATATTATAAATCAGGAATGGGTCTTGTTATTCGGGGTTAGCCTCCTCCAAGATAAAGTTACCTTCACCATGGCATAATCATAGTTTCTCGAATGTTGTCTAAAACAGAAAGATTATCTACCTGTTGTGCTTATTTATTTATTGGCTCATCATTCAATCGTTACTCGGAGTTCACAATCGAATGTTACTAAAAGTGGACATATTAAATATTAATCTACTCTGTCTCCCACTTATTGTCTGCGTGTATTTATAACATCATTAGTGCGTTAATTTCTAAGTGTGAGAAAAAAAAATCATGGCCTACTTTTTTGGCATGGGAGTAGATAAAGTGAAGAATCCCAAAATGATACACAGTCGCCTAATTCTTTTTAATGGCATGTCCCACCGGGATGTAAGTGACAGTAACTCTCCGGAGATTTTTATTTATTATCTGTGAATTACCATGGGTTCTTGGGAAAATTGGTTGCCGCCCAAAACTAGATAACCTGTTATTTAACCCATATCTGAGGATATTCATTCATGCTTTTCCCAAGACATACGTTTTTATCCGGATTAGTGGCGACTACGCGATTTAGCATGGAGACTATGAGATAGATAGATAGATAGATAGATAGATAGATAGATAGATAGATAGATATGAACAGAATAATAGATAGATAGATAGATAGATAGATAGATAGATAGATAGATCAGGACTTCATCAAGATAATAATAAGCAAACATTTTAAATTCTGGAAGACCTTTATATGAGAGAATTGCGGCCCAAAATAAGTCAACTACTAGTATAGCAACAGAGTTCTTAAATTTTTTCAAAAAATTAATTTGTGAACTTGAAAGGATTAAACCTAAAATAAATAAACAGAATACGTCTAAATTATTTAGCCAAACCTGAATGAAAATATGTTGCATATATATATATATATATATATATATATATATATATATATGTATGTATTAAAAAGAAGAGAGAAACCACAATCGTTTTTGGCTGTAATATTAAATATTATGATTTATTTTCCATAATTTTGCACACGTGTTTCCGGTCTCGCGGCCTTCATCAGGCAAAGCGGAGATTTCCACATATTATTAAAAATAATTAATTTTTTTTTTTATATTTTTCTATGTTAAATATTCTCGATATAAGACATTCTCTTTTTTGTGTGTTACTGACCCAAATGTCTTTCTTGAACTGGCAGTGAAAATGTCTGCGTGAAGGGTTATAAAACAATTAGGATTGGTCCGAGAAATGGTGAAGGAGCTATCAGCATTCTCATCTTTTAATGACCCTTGTGTGTTCTTAGATCTATTTCCATTTTCTTGTGTTTTTGTCAGCATGCGTATGTATATGTATATTCCCTCTCCATACATACAAACTGTCTTATTACGAAAAATTAGTAAACACATTTGTAAACATACACACATATACACACATGTACACACACACAAACAAACACACACACTTCCTATGCTGTGTATTGTTTGTCTGTGTGCCCATTGTTTTTTTAATAATATATATATATATATATATATATATATATATATATATATATATCAGCATGCGCATGTATACGCGCACTTCCTCTCTACATACACATACTGTCCTATTACAAGGAATCTGTATATACACACACACATATACATGCATACATACTTACATACATATACATATACTTCCTAAGTTACACAGAAGCAGTACACACACAGACACATATATGCATACATATATACGTTCATACATATACATATACTTCCTAAGTTGTGTGGGGTTTGTGAGCGTGCCTGCTTTTGTCAATATGTATATATATATATATATATATATATATATGTGTGTGTGTATGTATTCGTGTTCCACAGACACCCGCATGTGAGCGTGTGTGCATGTATGCGAGTGGTTTCATCATTGTATTTGGCCATGATGTGCACATGTCGTGTGTTTTTGCGTGTGGGGTTATGATCTCTTTAGTTCTGGTTTAAATTTGTTTATCATAAGTAGGATTTGAACTTGCACCCCCTTGATTGGTTGTCTTTTGAACGCTCGGCTACAAAGAGCTTCACAATCAAGTAGATATGCCTTTCAAGTAAATGTGAATGAGTGAATGGTCTTTAAAAGACAAAATATAACCTTGGTTGATTGCAAAGTTCTTCGTGCGCCGAGCGGTCAAAGCACAACGGTGATTCCTGCAAATGGCTACACACGTTTCAATCCTGCCGTAGTGTGAAATTTATTTATCAAGTTTTCTCTAGTACGCAGGCCAGTAGACAAAATAAATACATTTTAAACAAACGGTTGACAAAATAAATACATTTTAAACAAACCGTAGACAAAATAAATAGATTTAAAAAGAAAACGGTAGACAAAATAAATATATTTTAAACAAACGGTAGACAAAATAAATATATTTTAAACAAACGGTAGACAAAATAAATACATTTTAAACAAACGGTAGACAAAATAAATAGATTAAAAAAAAAACGGTAGACAAAATAAATACATTTTAAATAAACGGTAGACAAAATAACTATATTTTAAACAAACGGTAGACAAAATAAATACATTTTAAACAAACCGTAGACAAAATAAATAGATTTTAAAAAAACGGTAGACAAAATAAATACATTTTAAACAAGCGGTAGACAAAAAAAAAATACATTTTAAACAAACCGTAGACAAAATAAATAGATTTAAAAAAAACGGTAGACAAAATAAATACATTTTAAACAAGCGGTAGACAAAATAAATAGATTTAAAAAAAACGGTAGACAAAATAAATACATTTTAAACAAACGGTAGACAAAATAAATAGATTTAAAAAAAAACGGTAGACAAAATAAATACATTTTAAACAAACGGTAGACAAAATAAATACATTTTAAACGAACTACATTTACACAAATACGGATATTAACTAAAATAACATTTGAAGAAATAAACATATATATGAACTTGTAGTCATTAACTTTTTATTCTTCGCGCAACATTGGCATATATTAACACTGATAATATTAAATCAATTTAAATAAGTTTGAATTAAATATAAAGTCAACTTAACGCGTAACTTTGATAGAATCAAATATAACATAATTACACGATGATGCCCCTGTAAGTGATGACGTTGCGTTGAATCTCGAATTCCACTCGTATCGTCTGTTAAACAGAACCAAGACAGAAAACGACGCCGCCAAGAGAATAACCATTTATTTCCATCTATTACATACAAAATTATCAGGGTGTCATTGTAAGACATTGTCGAGAGTAAAACCTTGGGATTGTATCTTGTGGGGATGTTAAAGAGGCAGACAAACTTCTGTCCTTCTTTCTGACTGACGAATATAATCTGAATAAGCGTTCCTTTATATAAGGAATCGTAAAAGTGATGAAATGTGGTTATTAAGATATTTTATGTTGAGTACATAAAAACAAAGAAGAGATTTTACATAACACTTTATTCATTTTAAGTAACTAGGAACATCACAATATATGTTCGTTATTCACCTCGTACCTATTACTTTTATTTACCTTGTACCTATTGCTTTTATTTATCTCTTACTTATTACGTTTTCCTACTTTCCGGCCACTTACAATCTTCAAAAATTTAAATGCAACGCCAGTCGTCATCTTCTGTCTTCCTGAATCATGTTCTTTTATTGTCCTTTCTCCTCATTTAAGTCTTTTCGTTTTCTTTTACTCCAGGTTAACCACTAACGTCATTATCGCTTTGCTTAGGGCGAAATGATTTTAAAAATTCTGTTAAAATATTTCAGGTTGACCGCAAGGGAGTATATAGTGAGTTCGCCATGGTAACAATTCTTTCTCTTTTTTAATTGCTCGTATCCGCATATACATGTCTGCTAGGTTAGTTAGCTAAATCCCTGATGCAAACGCTATTATCCTCATCTTTGTCGCCCTATTTATTACAACGTTTCGGCCGTTGTACGTTCGGGCCTTCTTCAGGTGGTTGCAATGTCGAATGGACACATAGCACAGTGGATAAAGGCGTTAATTAGATCCAGTGACAGGACCCAAAGAGTGTGAGTTCAATACCCGGTTAAGGCAGTGGAGAACTTTCAGAGGGAAATTAACAGGAGATAACTGATAACTGACATCCATTAAACATGGCACGTGGAACTAAAACAGTCTACCCCAGTGAGCGAAATAAAGGGTTCAGTTCGACATTCCAACCACCTGGAGAAGGCCGGAGCGTACAACGGCCAAAACATTGTAATAAATATAGCGACAAAGTTGAGGACAATAGTCCGAATAATGTAAATAGTGTACATAATACCTCACCACAGAAATATAGACAGAAACAAGTTATATATTAACTTTTATAGAGTCCCCTAAGGTGTATAGCGCCACAGCCTTACTACGCTAGGTGTCGCTGCAGTGTTTTCTGTAGAAAGTAGATTTTTACGGGTCGAAATTGCTAGCTTCACTCCCCATTGGTTTTGAATTCAGAGTTCTTCTATTCTTAAACTAAAGCTAAAAAAACAGACTATCCTGCTATTCAACCCTTACCTGGAAGGGAGGGAGAAGAGATACATTAACATGGGTATTTATTTGCGCGAAAGTGAACGCAACGTTTTCTTCTGGAATTTGAACTCTACACTTGATAGGTCAACAACGACTACGTTCCGCGCACATTCATAAAATGTTATATTGCATGGATTAAATAAGATAAGGAAGAAAGTAGTTATAAGCCTATGCTTGAATGACGTGTGTTGCTTAGCTTTCGTAACCTAATTAATAAAAACACCGACAATATCAGGTGTATTCTAAATTATATGAAATGTTTGAACAAATCTCGTCGGAGGCAAATTCCTTACTTCTGATCCATGCTAATTGCTTAAAGGTCGAAGAATCTGAATGTTGGAATAAAAAGCAACAAAAATGAAACAAAATTAAAAAAAAACGTCTATTTCATGATTTATAATGAAAATTCTACTTCTAAATCTTCACTAATTCAATTATATAAATATCTTAAATGTCTACGAATTTCTGTTTTGAACATGACTTCAGTTTTTTTTGCCAGGAAAATGCAAATGAAAAGTCATTTTTAAGGAAAATGTGCGAATAGCCGAACGGTTACCGACACAAAAATGAAAATCTACGATCCAAGTTCAAATTCCCGCCTATTCTAATGCGTTCACTTACACCCTAACGCACTTGAGAATAGCACGAATCCCCCACTTCTTCCTCACTCCCGCTATGGGTTAAATAGTAGAATAGACTCTGTCCTGTAGCTTTGGATGGCAGCCAGTGTAGGAGGAAGGTAATTTAAAACTGAAAGACTAATCTATCTTTACCATGAAGTCATGGCAATTCTTCTGTGGTGATTGTGTAGCTTAGATGTGGCACAAGACCGAAAGTATGGGGCACCCAGTGAGGATCGAATTCACTACTCGGTCGCAATTTTTCTAGTGAGACAAGACTACTAACCATTACACCACGTCTTTTGTGTGTCATACCCCTTCAGGTCGTTGCTCTCCACAATTTCCTGTTCTTGGTAACTCTTGGGAAAAATTTGTCTTTTTGCTCCCCCACTCTCTCTCTCTCTCTCTCTCTCTGTCTCTCTCTGTCTCTCTCTCTGTCTCTGTCTGTCTGTCTGTCTGTCTCTCGCTCTCTCTCTCTCCCTCCTAAACCCAGTTCTGCCATCCATATTACATTAGGTATGTTATACGCTGCTTTTTTCTTGGT